TGTCCGTGAGTTCGAGCCCCGCGTCAGGCTCTGGGCTGATGGCTCAGAGCCTGGAGCCTGTTTCCGATTCTGTGTCTCCCTCTCTCTCTGCCCCTCCCCCGTTCATGCTCTGTCTCTCTCTGTCCCAAAAATAAATAAACGTTGAAAAAAAAATTAAAAAAAAATATATATATATAGGGTAGGGGCACCTGGGTGGCTCGGTTGGTTAAGCATCCAACTTTGGCTCAGGTCATGACTTCACAGTTTGTGGGTTTGAGCCCTGCGTCGGGCTCTGCACAGACAGTGCTGAGCCTGCTTGAGATTCTCTCTCTCCCTTTTTCTCTCTGTCCCTCCCCAATTCACTCTTTCTCAAAATAAACTTTATATATATATGTATATATATGTATATATGTGTGTATATACATACATATGTATATATGTATATGTGTGTATATATATACGTATATATATTTATATATATACGTATATATATGTATATATGTATACATATATACATATGTATACATATATACGTATATATGTATACATATATACATATGTATACATATATACACATAAAGAATATATTTATATATATATATATATATATATATATATATATGGTGTAACCCCTAGGGCCAACACACAAAAAAATAATTTAAGGTATAAATAATAAGCCAATAGTAGAGATAAATAGAATAAAACATAATTAATATAAATGAAGACAGAGAAAGAAAAGTAGAACAGAAGAGGGGTGTCTGGGTGGCTCAGTCAATTAAGTGTCTGACTTTGGCTCAGGTCATGATCTCATGGTTCATGGGTTTGAGCCCCACATCAGGCTCCACACTGTCAGCGTAGAGGGAGTGTGGAGGGGCAGGGATGGAACTTTCTGCCTCACACAGTGCACTTTCCCCTGGCTGGTGGTCTGCACATCCTGTTTCCCCCTTTCCTGCCCGCTGGTCCTTTCTTGGTTCCCTTCCTGGCTGCTGAGCCACTCACGAGCTCAGGGTCTGGCCACCACAGACACCCGCCCCCTCCTCCTGTGGGGTGAGGGACAGAGTCACACACTGGCCACACAAATGCCAGCCACTTCTTCCCCCTGTGGCTTTCACTATTGAGTTTCTGTTCTCACTGGCAAGTCCATTCACCAGCACCTCAGGCTCAGCACAGAGGCTCATCCCATGCAAAAATTTCTGTCTGCCTGGGACGGGCTCCTGGTCCCTGAGGGTAGCTGGACGTGTGCCCTCTGGCTTCCCTTTGGGCTAAAAGCTCTTCCTACTCTGGTGGTCATTTTCTTCAGAATTACAACTTCTCTCACATGAGGGACACTTACCCCACTGGGGCCCAGATCCAAGGGGCTTATCTTTTAAAGGGGGGTGGTAGGGGCAGATTTAGCTGGGGACAGGGCTTATGATTCTGTTGTAGTGGGTGAAATTAATAACTAATTTTAAATATTAATTACTAAATTAACTATTAAGTAACTAATATTAAAATTTACTGGTTCATGAGAGAAAAAAGAAAACAGAAGAGAAGGAATAGAAAATACCCTGATGATAAATTTCAAAACAACCATATCAACAATTACATTAAACGTAAATGATCTAAAAATACCAGTCAAAAGATTTCCAGACAATATGTAAAAATCAAGACTGAATATGCTATCTATAAGATATCCACTTTAAATATAAAAGTATATATAAAAATATAAATATAAAAACATTGATGGGGAAGCCATGGGTGGTGAACTCAGCCTGGGAGCTCTTGTGACATGGGCCAAGGCTGAGGCTAAAACCAGGGTGCACTTGTGAAAAACATGCCTGACCCAAATGACAGCTGAATGGGTTTTCATGTACACCCAGGTATCTAGTTGGGTCTGTGAAGTGGCTGCTGAAGTAGCTAGTGTGCCCAAATAGATCAGATGATATTTGTGCTTCTTGCTGTCACTATTTTCCATCAAGCAACTCCTGGACTTTGAGAAAGATAATGGTGTGAGAAAACATCATGTATGTTTCTACAAAAGGATCTTGCCACGTGACTGGCTGACCCAGAGAAGTCAATCTTTGGATGTATGACTTAACTGGCCCTCCGTGGGACTGGTTCAGAGTTGGTATGTACATAACCATCTTTGACTTTTAAAATATGAAGAGCCCTGGGGATCCACACATCTTGGATAACTCTTTAAAAGTTCTGACTAAAGACAGAAATGGTATGGTTCCTATAATGGCACATGGAGTGATTGAATATAAGGAAAAGTGTGGATTTAATTCTTTTTTTTTTTAATTTTTTGTAAATGTTTATTTATTTTTGAGAGAGAGAGAGAGACAGAGACAGAGAGAGAGAGAGACAGAGACAGAGAGAGAGGCAGAGAGAGAGAGAGAGAGAGAGAGAGAGAGGCAGAGCAAGAGCAGAGGAGAGGCAGAGAAAAAGGAAGACCTAGAATTGGAAGCAGGCTCCAGCCTCTGAGCTGTCAGCACAGAGCCCTGCATGGGGCTGGAACTCAGGAACTGCGAGATCATGACCTGAGCGGAAGTTGGATGCTTAACCGATTGAGCCACCCAGGCGCCTCTGGATTTAATTCTTTATTAACAGTAACATCCAATTATTATCTATTATAAATCAAATTAGGTTGGATTTATAGCAACTGCATCTCTTCCCACATGTTTATTAACCAGCACACGCTTCTGGTGGTAATACTAATCCCGCCCATCCTAAACACACAGGAAATATTAATCCCACCTACAATGTGGTTAATGTAGTGAAAGATGTATATGAAACAGCCAAGAAGCCATGCAATGCAGGGTTAGCTGGTAGGTCCAGAACTGGAAGTTGAAGAGGTTCAATGACAAAGCTCCACACAAACCTAGTCAAGTAGTTGATGTGCCCTCACATGGGTCTCACACACTATTCAAGAATTCAGTGAGAACAACAGTAGAACTGCATTAAGAGTTATAGAAAAGAGGGATATCTGGCTGTTAAAACCCTAGTTACTTTGGGTAAAGAAGATGTGTCCACTAGATAAGTGACCAAGGGGATGGTATCCCATCACTATGGGATAGCTATGGGATAGCACCATAGCTATTCCAGTGCTTGAATGTTTATTTTTGCTAGACTAGCTGGTTGTTTTCCATGGAGTCCTTCCTACAGCTCCAGTTCCTCCATTACACTAGTAACCTGAGCAATTTTTCATCCTATCTTGTTGTGCTATGGTTAATTCCCTCCTCACATGCTCTGCTCTCTGATTTAAATTTCTGCCTTCCTCCATCTGATTGGATTCTCGGTGGGAGGCATCAGTACTTTTGTGTTTGATCTTATTTACTGACACCTTGATTTTATTTTAAAATTCATTTGTGCACTTTCATTCTGTTGGTCAATGTGTTCTAATGGTTGCCTTGGGAAAAACAGGCAAGAGAATGAAAAAAAGAAAGATACATTATGCAAATACTAATTCACAGACAGCTGTAGTGGCTATATCAATACCTGACAAAGATGATTTCAGATCAAGGTAATATCAGGAATAAAGAGCAGCAATGCATATGATAAAGGGATCAATTCACTAAAAAGCTGCAACAACTCCAAGTGTGTACATGCTTAACAAGCGCTTCAAAGTACATGAATAAAAGGCTGATAAAACTGAAAAAAGAAATCCAAAAATCCACAGTTATACCTGGATATTTCAAAACTCCTCTCTCAGTAACTGACAAAAATCAGTACGAATATAGAAAAGCTGAATGCTATCAAACCAACTGACCTAACCAACATTTATAGAGCATTCCAGCTGAGCATAGCAGAAGATTTTTTTCACGTGTGCGTGCAAGATTCCCCAAACGAGCCATACCGGACATCTTAACAAATTATCATATGAAATATGTTCTCAGAACACAGAATTAATCTGGAAAAAATAGATAACAGAAAGATATCTGGAAAATCTCCAAGTATTTGGACATCTTACAATGTACTTCTAAATAATCACAGGTCAAAGAGAAAGCAGGAGGGCAAATGAGAAAGTATTTCTAACTGAGAGAAAATGAAAACACACCACATCAAAATTTACGAGACGCAGCGAAAGCAGTGCTAGAGAGAAATATATAGCAGTAAAATATTTATATTGGATAAAAGAAATACCTCAAATCAATGATCTGAAGCTCGGGTTGAAAGACAGTAAAGGCCTTATACAGAGTCAAATAGTAAATATTTTGGGCTTTGTGGGCCATATGGTCTCTGTCACAACACTAACTCTGCCACGGTAATACAAAAGCAGCCCTAGCAAACACATAAATTGACGAACATGGCTGTGTACCAATAAAACTTTGTGTACAAACAGGCTGCGGGCCAAAAGTGTAGTTTGCCGATCCCTAATCTAAAGGTTCCCAAATTAAGAAACTAGGGAAAAGGGGGCAAATTAAACCAAAAGCAAATAGAAGAATAAGATAAAGAGTGAGGTTCAATGAAATGAAGGCCAAAAAAATAAAACAAAACAAAACAAAACCCCCAAAAAACTAATATTCTCAATCAGTGAAATCAAAAGATGTTTATTTGCAAGGGTCTATAAAATTGAGGAAACTGCCAGACTAATCAAGAAGAAAAAAAGGTGTAAATAACTCATATTAGAGGTGAAATAGGGAACCTCACTGGGGACTGTCTATTCTACTCGCTGTGTCATAAATTCAAAAATGTAGATGAAACGGAAAAGTTCCTACAAAGATGCAAACTGCCAAAACACACTTGAGAAAAACTAGAAGATGCGAATGTTCCCACATCTATTAAGGAAACTGAATTTGTGGTTAAAAGCTTTCTCACAAAGAAAACTCCAGACCCGGATATCTTCACTGGCCTGGAGAAGCTCACCAAACATTTAATGAAAAGAGAATATCAATACTACAAAATTCCTTCCATAATATAGGAGAGACTCTTCCTCATTTTATGTGTGTATGTATTTGTTTATTTCTGTTCTTAGAAGTCAGCTTTATGTTCAGTGTTATTTAGTTCTAACAGCCTATGTACTTTCTTTTGCTTCTCACCAGGTTTACCTGCAGGCCGAGATTTCAAAAACCCCAACAAACAAACACACAGCACTGTGGGATTTCAGGCAGTGACCACCTGCATTTCATTTTGGCAATTAAACCCGGACTCCCTTTCAAAGAAGCTTCTATGCAAAGTGCCGTGTTTCTAGAATGAGGCGCGTGTTTTTTCAACCTTGAAGTCACCCTCTTGAAAAGCAGACCCAGAAACCCAAGCTTTCAGAACTTGATTATAGTATCACCGTTGCTGTGGTAATTTTACAACCAATAGCCCCCAAAGTTACTTTATTTAACAGAGGGCTTCAAGACCAGGCGGAATTTCTTGGCAATCTCACCTGCCCCTGCTGACTTGACTGTTCTACATCTGTTTCCATGGGAATCTTCACCCTTAAAGTCCAGGAGATGACCTCAGCTGCACCAAGTTGCCAAGCAGAGCCCATCCGGAGAGGGAGGGGTGGGGGGATTTGGACACAGGGCCCCTTGCTGGTCCCAGTACTGCTGTCTGACCCAGCAACAATGAACCTGTTCACTATTCATAAACGCTGTCCAATAAAGAGCATGCATCAAAACTTAAAAGCCAACCTTTCTGCCCAGATTCCTGGATAAAAAGGATTTTTAAAAATCTGTATAATTTGAACCAAAAGGGCAACTATTAAAAATAAACCAAGAAAAAAATAAAATAAACCAAGAAATATCCAGAAACAGGTTTCTAGTGAAAGCTTGACTTCCAATGCAATAAAATGATTTAGACAGCTTCTTTTATCTATGGGGAATGCAATGGTATCACGGCCCCTTAGTTAAGCCTTCTGAAAATCCTTAAGTAGAAAGCATTTTAATTCAGAGACCAAAGTGAAAATATCTTTGAAAGAAGAATAATGTGGCTAGGAAACCTTGTGCCTCTTGGCAAATATTTTCCAACCCACCATGAGCTTGGGCTTCCTGGGAAGGTCACTGGTTTCCCAGTCAAAAACATTCTTGAAGTCATCAGGAATGGAGGGATGGAGACACAGCATCTGGGCAGGTGTGTTTCTAGTTCCATATCTGGGGCTCAAGAGCCAAAAAGCTTGATCCTGCAGGGCCTCATGAAGACATTCCCCAGGGTGATAAAGACTCTAAAGCATCTGAGGCTCCATAAGAACTCCTGAATGTTACCAGCTGTGCTGGGCTACCCGGACTCTTCCCCAAAGCCTTGCATTGTCTGTCCTTTTTCACTTAAAGTTGAGCACCACCCTGGCGTTCATCAGCAGCATCCACAACAACAAAGCAATTCGTTGTATAGTGATAGCTTTATTGGATACCAAATGGAGATGAAGACATTAGGAGAAAATAAAACTCTAGACTGATAACCACAAGAACCTACTAGCCAAATGAGTCCAACAATATATAAAGAGGATAATACATCATGACCAAGAGTTGTTTATCCTAGGATTACAAGGCTAGTGCAAAATTCAAAAATGAATCAAGGAAATCTAGCATATCAACATGCTAAACAAGAAAATCCTTATTTTCTCAACAGATGCAGAAGAGCATTAACAAAATGCAACACCAATTCACCACAAAAACGCAGCAAATTAAGAAGAGAACTTCCTTAACACGATAAAGGGTATCTACAAAATACCTAACATAATACATAATGTTGAGATATTGAATGTTTCCCTCCTAAAGTTGGAAACAATGCCTAGATGTCCTTTTACCATTCTTATTCAACATGGTCCTGGAGGTCCTGCCTTTACAATAAGGAAAGAAAAAGAAATAAAATGAATGCATATTGGAAAGGAAGAAATAAAATTATATCTGTTTTTCCACATAGAAAAATCAAAGAATATACAAAAGGCTACTTGATCCAATAAGTGACTTTAACAAGATTGCAAGGCACTTGGTCAGTCTACAAAATCAATCATATTTCTACATAGCAGCAGTCAACAGTTGGAAATTCAAATATTAAAAATAACCCCTTGGGGTGATGGGCATTGAGGAGGGCACCTGTTGGGATGAGCACTGGGTGTTGTATGGAAACCAATTTGACAATAAATTTCATATTTAAAAAATAATAAAATAAATAAAATAAAATAAAAATAACCACTTATACCAAAGCCATGAAATATTTAGTTATAATTTTTTTAATGTGTAAGATCTCTATGCTGAAAACCACAAAGCCCTGATGAAATAGTTCGAAGAGGATATAAATAAATGGAGAGGTATACAGTGTTCATGGATACAGCATATACAGTGTCCACTGGTAAGATGTCAATTCTCTCTATAGATTTAATGCTATCCAACATTTTAAAACCACAGGAGTTTTCAAATAGAACTAAATAGGTTTATTCTAAAATTTATAAAGATAAAAGAAGTATACTAACCAAAACAATTTTGAAAAAGAAGATCAAAGTTGAAGGATTAATATTACTTATTATAAGCTTATTATTTATAAAGCTGAAGTAATCGAGACAATTGGTATTTGTGAAAAGACAGGGAACCCAGAAATAGTAATACAATGGAGACAAAGAGTTTTTACAACAGTGGTGCCGGAATAACTGGATATCCATACTCCCCCACCATTAACCTCAGTCCATATAACATACAAAAATTAGCTCAAATTGAGTCATAGACCTCAATACAAAACCTGGAACCACAAACCTCTAGAAGTAAACATAGGAGAACATCTTTGTGAATTTGACTTAGCTGTGATGCCAAAAGTGCAATCCATAAAATAAAAAACTGATAAATTAGACTTCACCAAAATTAAAAACTCTGATATTTAATATATCTTAAAGATATGTATATATACATAATATATCTTAAAGTTATATATATGTATGTGTGTGTGTATATATATATATATATATATTTTTTTTTGAGCGAGAGAAAGAGAGTGAGTGAGCATGAGTGGGGGAGAGAAGGGCAGAGAGAGAGAGAGAGAGAGAGAGAGAGAGAGAGAGAGAGAATCTCAAGCAGGCTCTATACTCAGTGGGGAGCCCGATGTGGGGCTGTATCCCATGATCCTAGGATCACAACCTAAGACAAAATCAAGTTGGATGTTCAACCAACTGAGCCACCCAGGTGACCTGAGAGATATTCTTAAGAGATGAAAAATATAAGCCACAGCCTGGGAAAAAGTATTTGTAAGTCATATATCTGGTAAGGGATTTGTATCCAAAATATATAACAAACTTGCAAAAGATCTGCATAGGTAATTCAAATGTCAATATAAGCACAAAAAATGTTCAATGTCATTATTATTAGGGAAATGCAAATTAAAACTATTATTAAATGCCACTACACACCTATTAGAATGGATAAAATTATACACACACACACGCTCTTATATATGGAGTCAGATAACCTGCTGGTGAGAATGCAAAATGATACAGCTACTTTGGAAAACAGTTTGACAATTTCTTATAAAGTTCAACTTACATTTACCACATAACACGGTGATCCTACTAGTCGATATTAGCTAAGTGCAATAAAAGTTTATGTTCATAAGAGAACTTGTATGAGAATGCTTGTAGCAGCTCTTCCCAAAATTGCCCCAAACTGGAAAAATACAAATGCCCTTCAATAAAATTAACTATGGTACATCCATATAATGGAATCCTATCCAGTAAGGAAATTTGAAGAAATTGCAACACAGATGAATCTCAAATGAATTATGCTGAGTGAAGGAAGCCAGATTCAAAAGGCTACGTATTCCGTGATTCCATTTATACGACTCTACAATAGGCAAAATGATAAGAAGGGTAAACAGATCTGTGGCTGCTGGGGCTTGGGCAACAGGGAGAGGTCGACTACAGCTGGGGTAATTTTACTGGGTCATGGATCAGTTCTGCAATTGTAGTGATTACACAACTGTATACATTTGTGTAGACTTCTAGACCTGGACGCTAAAGAGGGTACATATTACTGAATGTAAATTATACCTCATTTTCAAAGGGAAAAAATGGACAAATTATGAAGTGTAAATCAAAGAGCAACTCTTTTGACTTTCAATAGTTATACGCTGTTCAAACTTCAGGCTGCCTCCAGCACTCTCTAGCTATCACTACATCTCCCTACGGCTCCATGGGCCTCAGTTAAATCATTTGAAGATGGACATCATAATGGGACCTACCATATAGGGATAAATGAGTTAATATAAGGAGAGTGTTTACAGTAGTGATGAAATACAAGGATTCAGTCAATGTTACCTGCTAGCTCCACCATTACTATGATGACTGTTTTGCTACCTTGGTGGTTGATGTGACCTCAACTACCCTTCCCAAGATGTTATGTTTACATAATACTCCAATTCATGGCAGGACAGGAAATAAGATATGATTAAGGAAGAAAAAAATGAATGAGAAAGTATGATCTCCTTTCCCCTGAATACTTTTTTTCCCCAATTTCTAGCATATTACTAATTAGACCATCCTCTCCTATTAAATTATGCACTCAAATATATTTCTTTTACTCGGTCCTGGGAGTTGTGGCAGAGCTCATTTGGTGTCTTTCCATAAAATACTCAAGCTCTCAGCTTGCCTTTGTTCCTCTCTGGGTCACCCTAGAATCACTGCATTTCTGAAACTAAAGTTTGTCAATAGAAGAAGCAAAAATAACGAGTGATCTTCACTTTTTCAGTTCTCAAAGTAATATCAATATTATGCCAAGGAGCTAGAATGATCCATCCTTATACTGATGAGAGTATAGAAAGAAAGTATGATTTTCTGGATGAATTCCTTGAAAAACAAAAAAAAAAAAAACCCACCAAGCTTTCAACAGATTAATTTGGAAAAAATTGAGATGAATAAAGGATAAAAATGCCGATATGAACCATATCAGATATTACAGCACTGGGACTTCTTCTACAGACTTTTGCTTTGACACTTCCCTATTTGGAATCTTTTCTATCATTTATCTAATGAACTCTCACTTTTACCCCGAAGGACACACAATTTCATATGTCCTTTAATTACTCCTGTACCTAAAGGGGTTGGCCTATAGGATTCCCATTGTCCTGGTCCCTCATGACTATTTGATTGATACACGGGTGGATGCTGGAACAACACTTGTTGATTAAAGATACTCCTCTGGGAATTTGGAATTGGGTTGGTCCCTAAGAAATATATACTTAAAAAATTGACTAGCAATGAGGCATGTTTAGGAAGATAGTCTGCAGAGAGACAGTGAGAGAGAAACGAATGTAGATTTACAGAAAATATAGAAAAGAGAAATAGGAGGAAAGCAGTCTATGGGGTCTTGATGACTGTCCATTTATTAGTACTAATTCCTTCCTGTAACCTGGTTGCATTTTTATTTGGTTCCATGACAAAAACAAATGTCTTATTTTTCCTTCAGTGAAGCCAAGTTGGTTTCTGCTTCTTTCCCCTGCCATATTAAAACAATTTACCCTCCATCGTTTGTTTTTTTTTTTTTCAACGTTTATTTATTTTTGGGACAGAGAGAGACAGAGCATGAACGGGGGAGGGGCAGAGAGAGAGGGAGACACAGAATCGGAAACAGGCTCCAGGCTCTGAGCCATCAGCCCAGAGCCTGACGCGGGGCTCGAACTCACGGACCGCGAGATCGTGACCTGGCTGAAGTC